TCGGTGCAAGTTGTAAAGTAGTAAATTAGTCGTTTAAAGGCATATTGGATGGTTTCACCCACCCAATTGGACTCCCATAGGGTATTAGGGACCATGGTTAACATTTTGGAAAAATTTATTTCCAAGAGAAAAAAATTCAAAATTTAAGGCTAATATCCATGCATTTTTAGAAATTTTGGAAGTTTTGGTGCACGGTGTCAAAAAGGCTTGAAATTTTATGGGTTACATTTCGGGGTCATATAATGTCCACGTTTTTTGAGAAATTTTGGAGGTTTCTGGGCCCTCTGTCGAAAAGGCTTGAGATTTTAGGGGATACATCTCGGGGTCATATAATATCTTTTGGAACCATATAAGATGTTATATGTTGTCATAAATGTTCGTGGTAGGCTTGAATTAATGAAATCCGTGAAAGTTGTAAAGTAGTAAATTGGTCGTTTAAAGGCATATTGAAAGGATGCACCCACCCAATTGAACTCCCAGATGAGAATTAGGGAACATGGTTAAAATTTCGGCAAATTTTATTTTCGGACAAAAAAAAGTCTAAAATTTTCAAAATTAAAGGCTAATATATCCACGCTTTTTGAGAAATTTTGGAGGTTTCGAGGCCCGGTGTTGAAAAGGATTGAAATTTTGGAGGCTAATATATAATGCCATTTAGAACCATATATGATATTATATGTGGTTATAAATGTTCGTGGTAGGCTTGAATTAATGAAATCGGTGCAAGTTGTAAAGCAGTAAACTGGCCGTTTAAAGGCAAATTGGATGGTTCCACCCACCCAATTGGACTCTCAGAGGGTATTAGGGACCATGGTTAACATTTTGGCAAAATTTATTTCCTGGCAAAAAAAAGTCAAAGAATTTCAAAATTGAAGGCTAATATCCACGTTTTTTGAGAAATTTTAGATGTTTCGGGGCCTGATGTCGAAAAGACTTGAGATTTTAGGGGATACATCTCGGGGTCACATAATTCCGTTTGGAACCATATATGATATTATATGTTGTCATAAATGTTCGTGGTAGACTTGAATTAATGAAATCGGTGCAAGTTGTAAAGTAGTAAATTGGCAGTTTAAAGCCAAATTAGATGGTTCCACCCACCCAATTGGACTCCCATAGGGAATTAGGGACCATGGTTAACATTTCGGCAAAATTTATTTCCGGGCGAAAAAAAGTCAAAAAATTTTAAAATTGAAGGCTAATATCCACGCTTATTGAGAAATTTGGAAGTTTCGGAACACGGTATCGAAAAGGCTTGAGATTTTAGGGGACAAATTTCGGGGTCATATAATGTCGTTTAGAACCATATATGATCATTAATGTTTTCATAAATGTTCGTGGTAGGCTTGAATTAATGAAATCGTTGCAAGTTATAAAGTAGTCAATTGGCCGTTTAAAGGCAAATTTGATGGTTTCACCCAACCAATTGGACTCCGAGAGGGTATTAGGGATCATGGTTAACATTTCAACAAATTTTATTTCAGGGCGAAAAAAAGTCAAAAAAATTCATTAATCGAAGGCTAATATCTACGCCTTTTCAGAATTTTTTCATAATTCTGAGCCCGCTGTCGAAAATGCTTGAGATTTTAGGGGATACATCTCGGGGTCATACAATGTCGTTTGGAACCATATATGATATTATAGGTTGTCATAAATGTTCGGGTTAGTCTTGAATTAATAAAATCCGTGCAAGTTGTAAAGTAGTAAATTAGCCGTTTAAAGGCAAATTGGATGGTTTCACCCACCCAATTGGACTCCCATAGGGTATTAGGGACCATGGTTAACATTTGTACAAAATTTATTTCCGGGCGAAAAAAAGTCAAAAATTTCAAAATTGAAGGCTAATATCCACGTTTTTTGAGAAATTTTGGAGGTTTTTGGGGCACGGTGTCGAAAAGGCTTGACATTTTATGGGATACATTTCGGGGTCATATAATGCCGTTTGGAACCATATATGATATTATATGTTGTCATAAATGTTCGTGGTAGGCTAGAATTAATGAAATCGGTGCAAGTTGTAAAGCAGTAAATTGGCCGTTTTAAGGCAAATTGGATTGTTCCACCCACCCAATTGGACTCCCAGAGGGTATTAGGGACCATAGTTAACATTTCGGCAATTTTTTTTTTGGACGAAAAAAAGTCAAAAAAATTCAAAATTGAAGGCTAATATCCACGCTTTTTGAGAAATTTTAGAGGTTTTGGGGCACGGTGTCGAAAAGGCTTGAGATTTTATGGGATACATATCGGGGTTATATAATGTCGTTTTGAACCATATATGATATTATATGTTGTCATGAATGTCGTGGGTGGGCTAGAATTAATGAAATCGGTGCAAGTTGTAAAGCAGTAAATTGGCCGTTTAAAGGCAAATTGGATGGTTCCACCCACCCAATTAGACTCCCATAGGGTATTACGGACCATGGCTAACATTTTGGCAAATTTTATTTCTGGGCGAAAAAGTCAAAAAATTTCAAAATTGATGGCTAATATCCACGTTTTTTGAGAAATTTTGGAGGTTTTGGGGCACGGTGTCGAAAAGGCTTGAGATTTTATGGGATACGTTTCGGGGTTTTATAATGTCGTTTGGAACCATATATGATATTATATGTTGTCATAAATGTTCGTGGTAGACTAGAATTAATGAAATCGGTGCAAGTTGTAAAGCAGTAAATTGGCCGTTAAAAGGCAAATTGGATGGTTCCACCCACCCAATTGGACTCCCAGAGGGTATTAGGGACCATAGTTAACATTTCGGCAAATTTTATTTCCGGGTGAAAAAAAGTCAAAAAATTTCAAAATTGAAGGCTAATATCCACGCTTTTTGAGAAATTTTTGAGGTTTTGGGGCACTGTGTCGAAAAGGTTTGAGATTTTATGGGATACATTTTGGGGTTATATAATGTCGTTTGGAACCATATATGATATTATATGTTGTCATAAATGTTCGCGGTAGGCTAGAATTAATGAAATCGGTGCAAGTTGTAAAGTAGTAAATTGGCTGTTTAAAGGCAAATTGGATGGTTCCACCCATCCAATTGGACTCTCAGAGGGTATTAGGGACCATGGTTAACATTTCGACAAATTTTATTTCCTGGCGAAAAAAAAGTAAAAAAATTTCAAATTTGAAGGCTAATATCCACGCTTATTGAGAAATTTTTCGAGGTTTCGGAGCACGGTGTCGAAAAGGGTTGAGATTTTAGGGGATACATTCCGGGGTCATATAATGTCGTTTGGAACCATATATGATCATTAATGTTGTCATAAATGTTCGTGGTAGGCTTGAATTTAATGAAATCGGTGCAAGTTGTAAAGCAGTAAATTGGCCGTTTAAAGGAAAATTTGATGGTTCCACCCACCCAATTGGAATCCCAGAGGGTATTAGGGACCATGGTTAACATTTCGGCAAATTTTATTTTCCGGGCGAAAAAAAGTAAAAAAAAATCAAAATTGAAGGCTAATATCCACGCTTTTTGAGAAATTTTGGAGGTTTCGGGGCACGGTGTCGAAAAGGCTTGAGATTTTATGGGATATTTTTCGGGGTCATATACTGTCGTTTGGAACCATATATGATCAATATTTGTTTCCATAGATGTTCGTGGTAGGTTTGAATTTTTTGAAATCGATGTAAGTTGTAAAACGGTAAATTGATCGTTTAAAGGCAAACTGGATGGTTCCACCCACCCAGTTGGACTCCCGGAGAGGGATTATGGGACCATGATATACATTTCGGCAATTTTATATTTTGGTGAAAAAAAGTCAAAAAATTCCAAAATTTCAGGCTTAATATCCACACGTTTTGAGAAATTTCGAATGTTTCGGGGCCCAATGTCGAAAAGCATTGAGATTTTAGGGGATACATATCGGGGTCATATAATGTCGTTTGGATCCATATATGATCATTATATGTTGTCATAAATTTTCGTGGTAAGTTTGAGTTAATGAAATTGGTGCAAGTTGTAAACCGATAAATTTGTCGTTTAAAGGCAAATTGGATGGTTCCACCCAACCAATTGGACCCCCGGAGGATATTAGGGATCATGGTAAATATTTCGGCAATTTTTATTTACGGGTGAAAAAAGTCAAAAATTTTCAAAATTAAAGGCTAATATCCTTGCCTTTTGAAATTCTCTACAACGTGTCTACGTGCAATGATAGTTACAACTACGACACAAGATTTGGATGGATATAAAATTTCCTCTATTCAATTATTCCTTTTCATACTAGAAAATTGCTATTCATTTGAGAACAGGGTCACCTCACCTAAATTTAAAAAGCACGTGACTTAATAATGCAATATTCATGTGGGTTTTTTTTTATACTACACCAATAATCAAACATTTGGTGTACATGTTTGCTATAATTGCATTGCCCATTGCCATGCCTATTCAATCTTACTCCATATCGTATGTGTGACACAATTTTTAACTTTTAACTATTGCTGTTAACAATAAATGGTACATTTAAATAATTTTAGAATGGTCCTTTTCATGAAAAAAAATTTCAAAAAAAAGAAAATCTAGTGAATAAATCACCTTACAATAAGTATGATCATGGTCTAACTAAAATGAACTAAATTTGACAAAATAAAAATTATACTTCGTATTAGCTAAAATGTTTGATCATTTAAAAGATTATTTCTTTAATAAACCATTAAATTAATAAGCCAAGGAGCCAAAAACTAATCACCCAACTATCTCTGCCCAACTAGAAAAATATTGTTGTTGTCTTAATCATTCAAAAACATGCTCCACATATTCTTGTACTTTATAGTACTACTTAGTATCACATTTATTGTATTAATGTACAAAGATTGAATATTTTTACAAATTCAAAGATTTCCAATAAGTATCCATACAATTACACAAAGAACGAACTTTCCAATGTACTCCAAATTAAAATTGTATTGCTAAACTCAAAATCTATTATGTATTACACGAAGAACTTTCCATTACACTCGTAAATTACAATTACATAAAAAAAGGAAAACAAAAACTTACTAGTTTACACATGATATTCCTCTAATTGTATGTTCTTAGAGTTTAAAGGAATATAATCTCCTAGATAAGCATCAAGATGATCAGCTAAAGAAGATTTATCAATATTTTCATGGTGGTAAGATTTGCACACAAAGTAAATAACAGTTTGAACAACAAGCCCAAACAAAAATAACAAAGTCAACAACACCAAACACAATATTCCATAACAAATTTTCCCTCCAATTCCAACTGTCCAATCAATCACCTCTGCTTTCTCAAACAACATTTCAATTCCAACAAAACAAAATGTAAAGATCAAGAACACTGCTGTTGAAATTCCCATTTTACCCTTGATCAATTTTTTGCTCCTCATCATTGCTTGAATCCCATAAGTGTCTTCTAAAACAGAAATAACACTTGCTAATTGCCATATTACATTAATATATGTAAACCCAAGAAGGTATATTATGAAGAGTATGGATGATGCCAATTTTCCAAGAGAATCGCCGTTTGGAAATATGAATATGAACCATATGATAAGAGCTATCATTGTAATTATAAACCAGATAAAGTTGTATACGAACATTATGCCAAAATTCCATAAAAAAGTGATGATTAGTCTCTTCCAAACCTTAGGGACCACACTCATGATCTTTTTGTAAGTGATTTCCTTACCTGTATAGATACACGCGATTGTGTAGACAACTGCAGAGGTCGATAGGAGAGAAAATATAAGGAGGAATATGAGATAGGCAAATTTGATGAGCCAAAACGTAGTCCATTCTGAGAAGATCATGTTAGAAATCTTGTCATAAGCCGGGGTGCCTTGTGGGATGTAATCTAAGGTGGCCGTGTTGTTAATGATCTTACCATATATGAAGGTCGAAAACCCATCATTGGCTAGGGAAATGCAAGAGAGGGGGATGATCAAGGTTAGGGTGAGCTTGGTGAAAATTTTGGACCAATTAAAGATGATATTGAATGTCTCTTTGCATATACCAAAGAAGCCTAAGAATTGAAGATCTTCTTGCTCTCGATCCATCTATGAAGGTATGAAGGTTTTTGGATAATTATGGATTTAGGAATGTTTTAGACATTGAAGGAAATAAGGAGGTTTATTGCAGTGATATATGGTTCCTTAATTCCTAGTCAATGGCCAATTAGGAAGCAAATGAGGAAAAAGTCTAGCGTTGACTTTACTTTTTGAGCTTAAGGCATAACTACGTTTACATAGACTTGGCCAAAGTTAGGAAATGTCGTCTAATGTCTAGATCTAGATGTACATACTCCGTATAATAAACGGTTCAATGATTAATCAATCAATGATAATTGATATATATAGGTGTAATTGTGTAAATGTGTAATTATTGGTATGGAGTACATCTTTGTATATATAATTAAAAATCAACTTATGAGTTGTTTGGTACTTACCTTACATATATACAAGCTTTCTTACTTTTACAATTACTATTTTATAGTTCAACGCTAATTAATATGGTACTTACCTTTGAATAGGGTATGGACAAGTCAAGTCAATACAAGTCGGTTGTTCTGACCTATTGGCAATTTGGCAATACACTATCATAAAAATTAATTAGTACTATATCACATTTGGTTTGATTTAAGTTAATTAGTTTGTAGTACAATTTAGACACTAATCATTCAATCATATTGATGTAATTCAGATCCATATATTCTCCCTTTTATGCAATAATTTATTAGTAAAGACGTATACACAATGCATACTATGGCCCTGTTTGGTAATTAGCTGGTAGCTGATTGTATTAGCTGGTTATAATAGCTGGTTTGACTAGCTGGTTATAGTAGCTGGATTGACTAGCTGGTTATGACTAGCTGATTGTATAAAAATGTTTGGTAAATAGCTATTAATTGTTAGCTGTTTTAGTGTATTTAAGAAATAAAAATCTAATTGTACAGTAAGCTAATTTTAAAAAGCTCTTATAATGAGCTTTTTCTAAAAGAGATTTTTGAGCCTAAAAAGCTATTTTAATAACTATATACCAAACACCCAAATTAGTTTTTTTAATTGGTCAAACATCTAATTGAACAAAATAAGCTAAAATCTCTCTAAAAAAGCTTTTTACCAAACACACCCTATATACCCGATGAACATGAAGCACAATTCTAAAGAACGTGAAAATTAAAACAAAAGAGCATTAACTCCAATAAAATTAACATCATCTTAGCTATAGCTCTTAGCATAAATTGTTGGGGTTCATATATGTTCATTGGAATTAGTCATCATGTTCTTTAGTTTTGGATTTAAATGTTCAACGGATGTATAGTGAGCATTAAGTAGTGGCATACGTTTCAACCATTATATTTACACTTTTTATAAACTTGATCCAAATTATACTTCCTCTTTTATGTAACCCTCGCCTCAGATTATAAAATTAAAAATACATGATAAAAAAAAAAATTAAAACTGAAGATTTACGTACATCTTGTAAGTGAATATACGGTCCTTTCCTAAAATATAAAAAAATAATAAAAATAATAATAAAAACTATTAAACGTCTTAGCGACGCAATTAAAAAAAATAATACTACGTAATTGACGCGCTGACGCGGCCCCTTTCGCACGGCCTCCTTTTACCACCGCTTAGCTTAATTCGAATTTTCTTACTTGTAGAATGGGCTGTCTTTGGAAAAAAAACATCAAACACACACTTACCTTTTCTGCTTAATTTGTTTTGATCAAAATTATCTTTAACTTTATTTTGATTAGTCTTTTACCAATGGATATGAGGTGGGGGTGGAGCGGGTATGAGGTGGGGATGGAGCGGGTACGAAGTGAGATGGGACGGGTACAACTTAAATTTCACCCCCGCTTTATCACCCATGGCGGGTATGGTTTTTATCCCCATTCTCGCATCTCGCCCCACCACCCACGAAACCGAGATCCATTCTCGCCCTAGTGGGGCGGGGATAGGGCGGATCTCCTACTTGACCCGCCCTACTAATATCCCTACTAAATATAACTTAGTAGCAGGTCTCATTTATTATTAGAGATAGTAGATGAACCCTCGTCAAGGCATTTACGTTCAATCTCGGTACCACCAAAGCATACAAAGCGAAAGCTACCTAGAAACCTTTCTAAACATTCAAATTAAAGGTGATAATTTATTAGTAATCAATTCAGTAAAAGGCATTTGGGTAGTATACCTTGGTAGTTCGAGCAAATTGTCAAAGAGACAAGATATTCGTTCTCTCCTCACTCGACCGGTTTCATAGGAGTATCCAATACATCGCTTACTTTTTTTATGAAATAAAAAAGAAGCCAAAGTCGAGAAGGAAACAACCCAGAACGTACGCTAAGGTCCCATTAAGATTTGGGAGGCAAAGCACGCAACAAATTTGATCGCTAATGTTAGTCAATTACTATTTAATAATATGAATATTAATGTTTAATTTGTTGGTAATTACTCTAATTTGTGTACATTTCTTTCTTATGATATATTAGTATTTTTTTCTCACGAGGAGGGCTTTGTAATGGTGTACGTACCAAGTAACGCAACATACTAACATTCAACTTTAATTCTTAGTGTACTCGCAATTAATATGCATATCTAAAGTTTATCAATAATAGACAATAATAATAAAAAAAAAACACATGACAAGATCTATTGGATAACAAGTTCTATTGATAGATTAATTATAAAATCAAGGAACTTGTTTTTTACAATTAAGGAACTATAACAAATAATGACTTAACATAATTACCATGATCAATAGAATAAGATTAGATGACAATTAAAACATGCCTAAGCCGCAAATTAGTCTTCTATGCACTCTACATGTTTAATGACAAATGTGACAAAGTAACCCCATAAGTAGTTTGTCACGTCGCATACTTCAGGCCAACTTTTAAATGTACCATATTAACCCCACAACTAAAGATTGTGATACTTAATTCATATAAAATCGGCCTTCAAAGGAACGTATTCCCCAATGTACACTTCAAGATCATCGCCAATTGATATCTTGTCAATGTCCTCATTATGATACGATATGCACACAAAATAGAAGACTGCTTGGGCAACAAGGACAAAGAGACTAACCAAACTCCACCACACCACAATAAAAATTCTACTACAAAGTGTTTTTCCTATATCAATTCTATTTTCAACTAATTGTTCATTAGTTTTAAATGCTAAAATTGGCAAAACACAAAGAATTGTCACAAAAAATATAGCCAAAGCAGTTCCCATCTTGCCTTTGATTAATCTTGTACTCTTTTTCAAGGCTTTAAACCCACATGTTTTCTCCATTATAGAAGTTGCATCAGCTAATTGCCAAGTGACACTCATGTATAACAACCCAACTAAAAAAAATTGAAACCCTAAAAAGAAAAACTTATTTCCTAGTTTACCAAATAACATGAATAATATAGCCCATATCAATAATATACACGTGTATTCAAGTATCACGCAATATCTACACATATACGTGATTAAAAATGGTTTCCATGCCCTAGGAACCACACTTATGACCCTTTTGAAGGTGATTTCTTCATTGGTGTAAATACAAGAAATTGTATAAACTATGGTAGAGATGGAAATCATAGAGAAGATTATGGAGAATATGAAATAGGCCGTTTTCATAAGCAAAAAGGCGCTCATTTCCTTAGAGATAGAGCCAAAAATATCGTTATACCAGGGAGAACTTACATGGTTGTATCCTAAAGTCGACACATTATTGTAATGAGGCGTAAATACCCAATTATCAAGTAGGAAGATGCAAGATTGAGGGAGAATCGAGACTAGGGTGATTTGAATGAAGATTTTTGGCCATGTCAAGATGAGCTTGATTCGTTGAAGATGCCAAAAAAGCCTTGAAACACATCTTGCTCTTTGTTCTTGTTCATGGCCGTTAGTTTGGATAGGAGTGGTTGAAATGTGTTGAGGTTTGAGAGGATAAATTATAATTATCATAATATAATGCAATTAATTTAATACAAGTCAATTCCCAAAAAAAAAAAAAAAAAAAATTACAAGTCAACCAAAGACTACTTTGACTACTCTTTTAATTTGAATTTTCAAAAAAAAAAAAAAAAAAATAATGGTATTTTTGATAATAATAAACCGCTAATTCAGGTTTCGCTCTAAATAAAAATAATAATATTCAAAGAAGATAATGTGAGCAGTATATAAGGAATTTTGATAAAAAGTAGTGTAATTATGAATTTTGATTTCTTTTAACAATTTTAATAGCTCTGATATTGATTTTAAAATGTATGTCAAAATCACGCATTAATGTTTATACATTTTTTAATATTTTATTTTTAGTTCTCTTATATGACACAACTGAAATATTCGTAAAATTTACAAAAAGATGGGAAATTTGAACTTCAGAATATTCATGTCAAACGACTATTGACATTTCAATGAATTCACAAAGATGAAGGCCTAATTTGTGATAGGATGGAAATTAAGAATCGCTATTAAAACAAAGGAATCGGTCATAGATGATAAACATGAAACTAAGTATGAAACATCAACTTCACTACAACCAAGTCCTCCACTCCTCCATATGATCCATATTAAAATTCAATATTTTGTGTGATTGGTGTTAGGCTAAGTTTTTTTTTGGTTTTTTTGTTTTTTATACTCAAATTTCTTAGGATATTTAATCCACGCGGGATGTTCTTAATGGGAGAAAATGATAGCTACATGCCTACATGCTAACTAGGGGAGTTATATAAGTTGTAGCTAAGGCCAAGGATAATATATAAATATTATTCTAATTTTCGACAAATATTATCATAATTATAAAATCTGATTACAAAAAGGAAATAGCTTGTCATTATTGTACTAATTGTGAAGGTTGTAACTTAAATGATGTAGCTTACAGATTAATTAATGATGGGACAAATGTAGTCACTATGGATGCTTTATAAGAATTATAACACTTTCTTGGTTGATAAGAGTTTGCTACTTTTATTATGGATTATCTCTCTTTTATTTCCCATTAACAAAACCTACACCATAATTTTATAATAAAATTTCCACTACTTTGACTACTATATTTTATAACTATATTTCTCTCTTACATTAACAATTAAATATACCTCCAAAGAGCCTTCATATATAGCAACATTTATACTACTCACTCCGACCTTTTCCATACAGAAATTTATATATGCATGTGACAGGTTATATTGTGTGACCGGGATTAATTATTTAGGGGTTACTCAGTCAGAAATTACTTATTTAGGGGTTACTTGGTCAGTCAGGGGTTATTCTCACACAAAAACACGCTAATCGAATGAGTAATCTCAAAATAAGTAACGCTTGACCGACTGAGTAACCCTTAAATAAATAACCCTAAAATAATTAAAAAATTTATACTTAAAGCTAATACATGAATAGTGATAAAAGTTCAATGCATATCTCAGTTATTTTGGGATGGAGGAAGTAATGAATAAGATATGAATATTCACGAATTATTTTTCATGGATAAAATTTATTATTTATCAATTATTTTCTGTAATTAAGAACAACAATAAGGGATAGAAGGGACTAAAAAAATAAAATATCACTTTGCTCCCTACTCTATAATTTTCCTTAAAGTTTGCACATACCTACAATTGCAAATAATTACGGATAGAGTAAAACCGAAAATAGTTTAGAGTTTATACTACCATCAAAGCATTACCAATTAGACATAATTGAAGTTCATGGCATGCATGTTTATTTGTCCATGGCCCTATTCATGGGTTAGCATTTGTTTTAGAAAGTAAAATATAATTTAAGGATGATTAAATTTTGGCGAATACTTGATCTATATTTGTTTTTGTACGTGCACTCTTTTTTAATTGAAGCAACAACTTTTATTAAGTGCACTCTTTTATGCAAAATGAATTCAAACACAATAACTTACACAATTTTTTTGTCAGAAACACATACATTGATACACATCTTGTACAACATATTTAAACCAAAATTTTATATTATTACACAAACACAACCCGTATATAAATCATCGATAAGCTCGGCCTTCTTGGCTTCTTGTTATACTTGAATGAAGATCCTTAACTCACACAGCTTCATCCTTCAAAGGCACATTTTCCCCAAGGTACTCATCAAGATGTTTAGCCAATGAGAATTTGTCAATACTTTCATGGTGATATGATTTGCACACAAAATAGAAAACTGTTTGGACAACAAGACCATAAAGGGTAATCAAACTCCCTAACAATACTATACTTATGTATCCAAAACAAATTCTCTCTATAATTCCAAACCCATAATATTTTTGTACCAATACCACAAATGGCATTGTAACAAGGTTTAGCACAAAAAGTATGGCAAATGAAGTTCCCATTTTGCCCTTGATCAATTCTCTACTCTTTTTCAAGGCTTCAAACCAATAATACTTCTCTAATATTGAAACAACATTAGCCAATTGCCATACTATAACCATGATAAGGAATCCCACCAAGGCTAAAATGGCAAAGATGAACCCTATTATGCCCATTCCTAACCCCACCTGTCCACCGCCCACGTAAAACACCGTGATGAACACAATTGCTATTATGGTAAGCATTAAAGTGTAGGTAAACATTATGCAAAAAACGCATAGAAGAGTCATCATGAGTTGTTTCCATACCTTTGGAACCACACTCACGACCTTTTTAAAGGTGAAATCCTTGCCTGTGTATATGCAAGCAACTGTATAGACGACAGCTGAGACTGTGAATAGATTTAAACATACAGACAATATAACATAAACCACGTTTATAATCGAATAGATAGCCCATTCTGAGGAGGTCGAGTTAGAAACATTGTTTAAAGACGGAGAACCATCTTGGTTGATCATGGACAAGGTGGAGTCATGAGTGATCTTGTTAATGAGAAATTTAGAAATTCCATCATTGGCAAAGAAAAGACAATATTGAGGCAAAATAAAAGCAAGGGTGATTTGGAAAAAGATTTTAGGCCATGACACAATAATTTTGAATGATTTTTTGAAGATGCCCAAAAATCCCAGGGATTGAAATTCCTCTTGTTGAACATCCATGACTTTAATTTGGAAGTGATTTGGATTAATCGAATGATAAATTTTTTGGGTTGAATTCTTAATTGCCTCTAATTTGTATTATTATATAATGGAGTTGATTGGATACAAATCAAATCATTGACTTGGAAAATTATATCAAATGATCTACGGACTACTAAGTAGTTTCCCATCCATCTCTTTTGACTAGATTATATAATGATTTTTTGACCTTATCATCAATTATTATCAAAGAAAATTAATACTAGTACTATGTCTAATATTTTAATGTGAATGCAAGAAAAGTTATAATTCATTATTAAGGGCTTGTTCATATTTATCGAACTAAGATGAAATGAACTGAATTGAGCTGAAATAAATATTTTATGAAAGAAGGAAATTAAAAGCTGAATTGAACTGATTGAAACTGTATTGAGTTGAACTAAACTGAAATTAAGCTGAAGTGAATAGACCCTAAATATGATAATGACTTTTTTTTTTTTTAATTTTATTATTATGTAAAATAGTTAGCAAGCATGATTAGGACTCTAGTCTTTAGGTACTTTTTCATATCTAGATCTAGATTACTGGACATTTTTTTTATAGGTCTTCGTTTTTCTAGGAGACAGAACAGCCCAACTAACACAAACAATTAAATAGTTTAATGCTTTCAATCCAAACTCATGCAAATGTTACACAAACGGGCCCAACACCGACACTCTTGGCCCAATATTTAATTAACTGAAGAAACTTTTCTATGGTGATCTGGCGATAATGAATATCTAATATGGTTTACAAATTGGATTATGCGTGTAAATCACCGTACACCTAAACAATTACAAATTTACAAGTATGGAGTCTTCGCATGCTCCAACTGTGGTGAATTCAGGAGCTGATGTAGGGTGGAAAGTGGTTACCAGAAGAGCAAGAAATCACAATTTTTTTTTTTTTTTTAATTAGGACCGTCTTCTCACAAGACTGTGACCTAATTTATCAAGGAGTAAAAAAATAAGAAATCTTGCTATCCACATTAGGGCCGATAGTCTTATCAAATTTTGTAAGTACTACCACTATTGAAATTAAAAAATAATGACTATAGAATTTATCTTGTACTCCATATAATAAATTTGTAATTACATTGATAGAATATAAAATACTTGTATATTTTTAGGCCTAAACTATTAGATTAAGATTTTGGTTGAGTTGGTCCTATATTATGATATCGGAAATGTCGGTGTCCCTCCAACCGTCTTGGCTTTTTTTGCACTATTTCACTTTTTTTTTTTTTTTTTTTTTTCATTCACTAGTGTAGCTAGGTAGCTAGTTAGAAACTGCTTGAGAGTTGAGACCTTGAGTGCCTGACTACTGCCACCTTTCTTCTTTTTTTACACTTTATCTCCATGTAATCCATCAATTTCCCACCTCTCAATTTTCTCTCTCCAAAAACAAAAAAAAAACACCCAAATCAAATCCCTAAAATCCCACATTTTTCAACCATATAAAAATCCCCCATTTCAAATGGAAGATGAAAAACCATTACTGGGTACATTCTTCAATGGCGGAACCATAATTCGTCGACCAACATGGGCGTTTCTTTTGCTATTTTTCACAACTTTTGCCGTTTTTACCCTCCCTTTTACCACTAAAACGTTTTCTTCTCCTCCTTCTTCTTCTTCTTGGCCGCTTCCGGGTCATTCCGAGTCACGGGTTGATCCGGATTCATGCTCCGGGTTCTTCCGGCCCGACCCGCCGAGGAAGTTTGTGGTGTCAATCACGGAGTTTGGTGGTGTTGGAGATGGTGTAACTTCCAACACCGACGCGTTTCGTAAAGCTGTTGGGTATTTGAAACGTTTCGAGAATAAAGGTGGGTCCCAGCTTAATGTTCCTCAAGGAAGATGGGTTACTGGAAGCTTCAATCTTACCAGTAATTTCACGCTTTTTCTTGAAAAGGGTGCTGTTATTTTGGGATCTCAGGCATGTAATTTTCGTAATTTAATTGATTTGATTTTATTTTTTGTACTAATTTTCAGTTGGGTTTTTTGTAATTGATGATTTGCATGCTTTAATCTCTCAATTAATTTGTGGGTTTATGATTGAATGCATATTTGATTAGCTTTTCATGAGATTTGATTTGCTTTTTGTTGATAATTATTGTGAAAGTTTATGCTCTAAATTTAATGATTTGTGCATTTGGAGATTTTAACTTTTAAGTACGATATGATTGATGTATGAGAGAGATTATTGAGTTTAATTATGCTGTTGCTTGCTTGGTTAGCTGATCAGGTTTGTTGATTGATTTTGTTTGGAGAAAAAAAAAAAAAATGGATAAGTTATTAGTGGTTGAGTCTTTGAGTTTTGAATTAAAAAATTCATTTTAGGTTAATTGATGGTCTGAATTTTTGTCTTTGCTTGTTTAAACGTAATTCAATTTGAAGGTGTTATATGCTACTATTAGTAAGGTTAATGATCATCGTCTTGATAATTACTAGTTAATTGATTTTTATGATTTGGTCATTCCATTTTGAGTTTTGCAAGTGTTGTATGGTAGTGTAAGCACCATCTAATTGATTATTAGGTGCAATGTCGCTTTCGTTGCATAAATTTGAGGTTAATTATGCCTCATTAACGTCATAGTATCTTACTATATCGGTCACCATGAAAACGGATCATTTTATAACTATTAATTAGGATTTCAAGCTGCCCTGTTGTTACTTTGTTTCGTTATTATAGTAGCTTTTTATTTGGATTTTTTTGGTATATTGTTTACTCCATATTATAGTGCTACCTATAGTTATTAATGAAGATCATAGCTATGATTTCATTGAATACGTTGAGGGGTATGTTTATAACTTCTCGTCACACTCGGATACTTGTGATGCTCCATGATTGATGTTCAGGGATTTGTGGTTAAACCATATTGTTAATTTCATTTCACTTTCACTTAGAGGTGTTGTTTTCATATCCATTTAAAAGCAGGTGATAAAGTTACTTTTTTATCTTATAGTTGTATATTGACCTTGTAATTGTCAATGACTTCAGGTTGTTTGGTATAGGTTTAATAATCACGTGTTGAAGTATTGATGTTAATATTTTTTTTTTTTTTTTATATATGATTTTTGGAGGCTTGTCTGTATAATTTTGCATTTCCACTTTTATGTGTGTATTTCTCTTTATTAATTTTTATTGCTACTCATATCTGTTGATGTAAATTGGTAATGAATGATAATGGACATCAGCAATGAAAAATGTGTTTACTAGTACTAAAAGTAGGTAGCATAGCATTATCATGGACATTTTACATGGATGACATTTCATATAATTGTGTACATGATGTATTACTGTTCCAAGTCTTCCAACTTTGTAGCAAGTTAGCCTTGAGTACTTCCACTCTCTTAAAGTGGAATTTAACTTCTAATTTAGATATGTGGTGTAGTAATTGTTCAACTTTGGAACTTAATTTAAAGAAGCCCATATCACTGGTCTTGCTTATGTGAAATTTTGATGCTTGTACCAAGAAACTTTCTAGTTGGGACAAGTAATTTCCTGCTTAATTTTGTTGTTCCTCTTATTATTTTAGTCTGAATTATTTATTTCATAAGCAACAGTTACAACTTTCCTTACAGAGTGAATGTTTAAGAGTTGCTGTGGAGTATGGACTGCACTGACTTTATAAGTTGTTTTTCGTGATTGAGCTTAGCGGTAATTATTGAATCAGCTGTTCCTAAACATTAGTTTGCTTCTGTATCAGTAGGATCCAAAGGAGTGGCCGATCATTGAGCCTTTGCCATCATATGGAAGAGGAAGAGAGAGGTTAGGTGCCAGACATATTAGTCTCATCCATGGAAACTCCATCAGCAATGTTGTCATTACAGGTATCAGTGTGTCCCTTGATTATTGTTTTATATACCTTAAGTCAAACGAACTGGTTAAAATCCACAAGTTTCCGTGACTCATATCAGATGAGCAAGTTACCAAATTAGCATGTTCCAATTTCTAGTTTGCATTGGTTTCTTACTACAAGCTGTGATATTTTCTGGCAGTATGTTGACATCTCATTGGTCTTTTAACCTTTTTATTTCCAGGACAGAATGGGACAATTGATGGACAAGGAAGAATGTGGTGGGATTTATGGTGGAACAGAACACTGGAGCATACTAGAGGCCATCTTGTTGAGCTTGCTAATTCTCATAATATCCTGATTTACAACCTCACATTTCGAAATTCTCCATTTTGGACCATTCATCCTGTGTATTGCAGGTTCGAACAGCCCTTGTAACCATATTCTATTGCTGGCAGTAATCTTTGAGGAATCATAAAAATAGAGTCAAGATATTGATAGTGCGATGCTAATCATGCTATTGATGTTTTTTCTGTATAAAGTTGTTGCCCTCTTAGAAAATAAGGGCACCAAATTTAGAAATCTAAGTCAAATAAAATTATCATGCAAGAGTTCTTCCTACATGCTACATTCCTAAGGATGGGCATTAGCATAGTTTTAACAAATTCACAGGGATTTCTTTTTGTTGCTTCAGGAATGTTGTAATCAGGAAGATGACAATATTGGCTCCTCTAAATGCCCCAAATACAGATGGTATAGACCCAGGTAATGTGGCAAAATTTCTACAAATTGTTTTCTGCCTATTGTCTTTTTCGATATTGAACGGGGGGGGGGGGGGGGGGGAAATGAATAAAATAAAATAAAAATTCACTGTCCATGATAATTCAAGAATGGCAATTGAAACTGCAGATTCAAGCACAGAAGTATGCATTGAAGACTGTTACATTGAGAGTGGGGATGATCTTGTGGCTGTGAAGAGTGGGTGGGATCAATATGGCATTGCCATGGCACGTCCCAGCTCAAACATAATAGTGAGAAGAATTTCTGGCACAACTCCAACATGCTCAGGTGTTGGAATAGGTAGTGAGATGTCTGGTGGAATATCTAACATAACCATAGTTGATATTCATGTCTGGAATTCGGCGGCTGGGGTCAGGATTAAAACTGATGTCGGGCGAGGAGGATACATAACGAATATCTCAATATCAAACCTAAGATTGGAGAGGGTAAAAATACCCATTAAGTTCAGTAGGGGTGCTAATGATCATTCTGATGACAAGTGGGACCCAAAGGCCATTCCCAAAGTTGGTAAGGTGTTTATCAGTAATGTAGTTAGCTTGAACTCGAAGAGAGCACCTGAAATACTTGGCATTGAGGGTTCACCTTATGAAGGTATATGCATGAGAAACGTAAATATTTCTGGCCTCCCCCCATCAGCTAAATGGCACTGTGAACATGTTTCCGGTTTTGCAAGCGAGGTGTTTCCACCTCCATGTCCTCAGTTTCAAGTTGATAGTTCACCGTCATCATGTGGGTTTACATGAATGTTAAACTAGTTCCCAAGTTATCAGACTTCAATCATTTCCTGCAGTTGATCTCAAAGATCATAAGTTCATAATGGTGAAAATTGAAGACACAAAAGAGGCTTGAAGATATTGGCTTATACTGTATCATACCATACTTTCAGGGCTCAGAAGCAGAAAAAATATCTTTACTGATGCAACATCAACCAGCACCTTCCAGGCCAAGTGAGCTTTTGTGATTTTAGAAACCACAAGTTTTTGTTATGACAGATACAGATTGATGACCAGATTCCAGCCCGATGGTTCGCTTTATTGTATTACTATTCGTTCAATTTTTTGCACATTTCTAACTTGTGATGACTTTGGAACACTTATTCATCTCAAGGAGGAATACAAACATCGATACGTGTACATGTTGAGTAGAAATTTTTTCAAAGCCGAGAAATCTAATTATCAATTACCAATGAGTTCCTATTGATCTTTACAAAGTCTTGTCTATATATGTCTAAAATTAGTTCGTATATCCTGCCAATCCCTTAATATGTGTATGCAGTTTATGTGATTTATATTTAATACGAAGTATTAATAGTAGCATATTGAGAAAATTAATGATAAACCATTACTTCCACGGTTCCACCTGTTGTCCAGCAGCCAATTCCGATGATGAAGAGCCTCAGCCAAGCAAGGAGGACAGTGAGGATGGAAAAATAGGAAGACCAAACCCCGTTGATGAGAATGGGCAAACTAGCCTTGTGTATACGACTAACACGAGTGACTTTTGTATGGTTAGTCCCGAATATGATGTATTATGTTACAGACTTTCAAGTTAATTAGGATTCAATGGTTATATAGTTATTATCTCCACATGTAAGCTGCTTTGGGCAGTAGCAAATTTGAAAGAAGAAAGAGTTACAGTTCACAAAAACGCGCATTGGACTAATTTGCTCTAATCAATACTTAAGCCCTCATCGGTTTTACAATAAGTACATGATACATGAGATTGGAACTAGAACGTTCAACAAGATGGGAATATGAATTTGAGGGATTTTATACATTTCACCATTTCCAGAATACATTAGAACCGCACTTGAATTTGTCCTTTCCTTCACATTCCAACTCCAAATCCTCAGAAATGAAGGGTACTTTCTGCAATCAATTATCAGAAAATAGTTGTTAGTACAGTTAAACAAGTTTGAATTTTGATCAATTTATTTACTATTGTTAGTTTATATACTAACTCGACTTCATATTATTTGCAACGATTTGACATAAAGTAGAGAGAAAAAATGTTCAATCGTTGCAAATAATATGAAACGGAGGTAGTATATGGATAATGAACCTTTTGCTTGGCAAGATCTTGGCAGCCTGTAAAATTCTGTGGGAAATTGCAGGTTCCAAATTGTACTGTGTATGCTCTTGCAAAGTTGGCTCCACTTGTTGCCAACCTCTTCTTGTCATTCAATTCCTGGTAAAACAGTTTGACATCACCTGTGTCAATAAGTATGATCATCATACAGTCCGAGCTGAGTCTGACCCCATTTTTCGGCTTGGCCGGTCATTAAGGGGTACTGCCCACCTCGGAAAACTTTACCAACTAAACTAGCAGACACTAACTTTGGCATAAGTGACTAAGAAATGGGAGTATCATTGTATCAAGATAAACTAACCTTGTTAGCTTTGCTCTTCTCAAGGTACTCTTCAATGACTCCAGCATTAGCATTGGAAGAGAAGGAAGTGGCAACAAGAGCAGCAGCCAAGCCGAAAACGGCAGCTCTTCTTCCTTCAATGGCCTTCTCTTCCTTTTGAGCTTGTGCCTTGATTACAGGCAGTTTGTCACAAGATGATGGTGCCACACAACACACCGAAGACGCCTTCGAGCTAAGCTCTAAGCCTCCAGCCCCAGAGATGGCATAGCTGCATGCTAGAACACTAGAGTTCATTGAAGCCATTTTAACAATGTTTTTTTCTTTTTGGGTGTGTTTGGGTTATTAGGAGAGAAAGAAAAAAAAGAAGGTTTATGATTAAGAAGATTTAGGAGTGATGTGGAGGGATGAAGATGAAATGTAATTAAGGGTTTGTGGTGAGAGTGTGGATAAGGTGAGATTGCCTCATTCTTATTGGCAAATTATCTTTGTTGTGCTCATGTGTCTTGTCTTTGTGGGGCTCCTTGAGCAATGGTATCAAAGTATGTGCTTCTTATTCATCCTTTCTGAATTTAGAAAATTTGATCATATGTTACGCCCACCAAATTTCAGGGCAATCAACAAATTTTGTTGAAATTCATGATTGTACTTCTTCCCGGTATTTTATGTGATAAGAATTATAGAAAGAGATTAAAAAAAATTAAAAAAATAATATGACGAGGAGAAAGATAGACAGAATCATTATCCATATAAAATAGTGTCACAATTACTCCGTAATTTGCAACTTTCTAAGCAAAAATATACGTTACAATGAAAAAAGATATAGAAAGTAGGGAAAATTATGTTTGTGGGATTAGTTTGAAATGTAAACAAATAATAAACCAAATATTTTGTATTTAGTTTATCTGAATTCCCCCTTCTAACTTAAAAGTTAATTAATTTACTTTTTTTTTTCTTTTTAAATTAAAGGAACTCATAAAACTTACGAGAAATGAAGTACTCCATTCTCTTTGATATCATAATACTAGTCTTTTATGTCATATCATCTCCATCATACTAAAAAAAAATGGCGAAAATGTGGGGTTTTTGGCCCCTTCTTTTATACAGGGAAGACATTCTGAAGAGACTTCAATAACTACTAATAACAAGAGGTCAAGAGGCAATGCAGCTCAACCTTACGGCTATGACAAAATTAGCTATCGTATAACCATGATAAAGCACATACAAAGTAGACTTGCAGAGAAGAATACACGATATACACAGGGTTCAACACAGAGTGCTAAGATCTTTTGTAGCAGAAAAAAGGGGGCTATCAACATCATCCGCATAACAGAAGAAATTCCGAGACACAGCTACATCCAACCTGTTAAGCCTAACTGATCAGCAACGTTGTACATAACAAGTTTGTTCCAAACTGACCCAAAAAGGCGTTCCCCTCCAATCGAAAATGTTAATGCCCATGAAGACAACAGTACAGTGGCAATTGAGCACCCAATAGCTGATCCGACAATATCTGCAGGAAAGAGGAGCTATTAAATAATGCAAATGAGCCTGGAGAAATGATGCAACATCAATAACTATGGAACAGAGAAGGCTGTATTGAAAGAAAAACAGTGAGCTTTAATTCTTATAATATGGAAAATGTACAATTGCTCTTCATTAAAAAAAAAAATTAATTATAAAAAAAAAGGTGCTGTTTCCACAGGAGGAACTCGTTGCATGACTTCTAGCAATTGCATAATGGTTGGGGACCGAAAATAATACTCTGTATTAAGAACTAACCCTCTTTCGTCTTTCCCCCATAGGCATTGGAAAAAAGTTAACTTCTCATAGATAGCAAAACTGCCACAATACAGCAATAACAGTGGAGAGGCAGAACAGATGCTTTGAAGCAAGCAATAAAATCCATGCCTAACGACACTAAATCAGAAAAATACAAGATTTTTAAAATAAAAATAAAATAAAATTAATGATGCGTAGATGGTGCATGTAGTTATTTTAGAGCTTGCAACGGTAAGCGATAATAAACAGGGATTAAGTGAAGGTTTGACGTTTGATTGAGCTATAAGCTTGCGACTGATAACATGGCTTTAGGCCATTACTCTCCAAGGGTTCTATTACAATATTTCTGAATAGTTTTCTCTCTCCTTAGGCTAATCTATTTATACTACTTGAGATACAAGCAAATGGCCTAATGCCTTGATTGTTACAACTACTACCATTTGTCTTCTAGCTAAGTAATTAATAAAAAGTAATCTGCCAAATTCCTTCAAGCCGTTACTGCTGCTCACGGCAGTGGGTGCGCTGCTGCTTGTGTTGCTGGTGTTGTGTTTTGCTGCTGTCTCTGTCCTTTCCTCCTGCTGTATGTCAGGATGCGAGGTGGTGGAGGTGAGTGTATTGCAATACTCCCCCCCAAAAGCGCCACCTTGTCCTCAAGGTGGAATGCAGGGAATTTCGCATTCACAGCCTCGGCATCCTCCCAAGTGGCTTCGAATTCAGGCAACCCGTGCCACTTAATCAACACGTCCAATCCATCCCCTCTCCCTAGCTTGGGTCTGCTGTCCAATACAGCCTCAGGCTCCACAATTAACTCCAATTCCGGAGTAATCTGCTCTGGGATTGTTGGCGAGCTCATGATATTCCCCAATGCTTGCTTCAATTGTGACACATGAAATACAGGATGCAATTTACATGTCTCAGGTAAAAGGAGTTTGTAGGCTACTTTCCCGACTCTTTGCGTGATCTCAAAAGGCCCATAATAGCGTGCCGCCAACTTCTCGAATGGCCTCCTTGCCAATGAACGCTGCCGATATGGCTGCAGTTTAAGGAATACCATATCGCCCACCTTAAATTCCACATCCCTCCTGTGAACATCGGCATTCTCCTTCATAACCTGCAGGGCACGAGTCAACTGCAATTTTAATTCATCCAACATCACATCCCTTTCTTGGAGGACTTCCTCCACCGAATTCACAGTAGTCTGCCCCACTCCTATGCGAAGTAACTTAGGAGGGTCCCTCCCATATACGACCTTGAATGGAGCCATGTGAGTTGATGAGTGAATGGAGGTGTTGTACGAACACCTTGAATGCCGTAACCCGATGCATCGGACTCCACCACGAACACCTTGAGGAAATCAGGCATCACCAAAACCGGTGCTGTGGTCATGGCTGACTTTAATTGAGTGAAAGCATGATCAGAGGACCACCCAAAGTTGTCCTTCCTTAATTGATCCGTTAAGGGGTGGGCTATGTGTGCATAGTGTCTTATAAACTTCCTGTAGTAGCCCGTTAGGCCCAAGAATCCCCTTAGATCCCTTAAGCATTTTGGGGTGGGCCAATTCGCCATGGCTTGTATCTTCTCTTGATCCACAACAACCCCATCTTTAGAAATCATGTGGCCCAAATAAGCCACTTCACCCTTCCCAAACTCACACTTCTTAAAATATGCAAATAATACATGGGCCTTAAGTGTGGCCAAGACTACCCGTAAATGCTCTAGATGCTCTTCCTTGCTTGCACTATAAATGAGAATGTCATCGAAAAAGACTAGTACGAATTTCCTCAAGAAAGGCCGGAAAACGTCATTCATCAATGCTTGAAAGGTTGCCGGAGCGTTGGTTAAGCCGAATGGCATAACCAAAAATTCATAGTGACCCTCATGGGTCCTGAAAGCCGTCTTATGGGTGTCTTCCGGGCACACCAATATTTGATGGTATCCGGCTTTCAAATCGAGCTTACTAAAAACTTGTGCACCATGTAGCTCATCTAGTAGCTCGTCAATCACGGGAATGGGGTACTTATCGGGCACCGTTTCTTTATTTAGGGCCCGGTAGTCGACGCAAAAGCGCCACGACCCATCCTTTTTCTTCACTAGAAGAACAGGGCTTTGAAAATGGGCTTGAGGATGGTCGGATGATCCCGGCTTCTAACATCTCCTTTACGAGCTTCTCAATTTCATCTTTTTGGAATTGCAGGTACCAGTAAGGGCGTACACTCACCGGGTTACTTCCATCTTTGAGCAAGATGGAGTGCTCGTGCCCCTCTAATTGGGGGCAGCCCTTGGGGCTCTTCAAAGACCCCACTAAACTCACTTAACACCCCTTGAACAAAGTCAGGAACGCCACTGCCCATGTTCACCACATTTCCCTCAACTTGATTCAATTCCACCAAAAGACCCCCCTCCATGCTTTCGGATAGTTCTCATCATGGCCTTAAGGGTCACTCCCGTGCGAGCTAGTGACGGGTCCCCTTTGATTGTCACCGTTTTTCCCTCCCTCTTGAATCTCATCACTTGAAGCTTCCAATTGGTAACTACCTCCCCAACTTTTCTAGCCATTGCACACCCAATATTACATCTGTGTTACCCAATTGAAGGGGTAAAAATTCCTCCACTATCTCTAGCTCCTCATTTATCCTCAATCGCACCCCCTTGCATTGTCCTCGGCCCTTCACCGCTTCGCCGTTTCCCAAGGTGACACCAAAGGAGCGCTAACACCTCTACTAAGGTAGTTGAAATAAAATTGTGCGTGGCTCCCGGGTCGACCATCACCACCACATCCTTCCCGTGGATACTTCCGATGAATTTCATAGTTCTTGGGTTAGTTAACCCCACAATGGAGCACATGGACACATTCACCGGAATCTCTTCTACTTCATCCATCGGGGCTTCTAACGCTTGGAACTCCCCTTCCTCGTCATACTCCTCCTCTTCCACCAACAAGACACTAAGCCCCTTGGCGGAGCAAACATGTGTGGGTCCCGTCCACCTCCCGTCACACCTAAAACAGAGCCCTTTCTCTTTCTTTTCTTGGATTTCTTTCTCGGTGAGCCTTCGCACCATGCCACTGAACCTCAAGGTACTTGGGTTAGTTCGGGTTGGGTAAGTTTGTGAAGGTATGTTGACTGAAGCAGAGGAAGCTTGTGGGGTTTGGGTCTGTGTTTGGTGAGTATTTTGGGTTGTGTTTGGGCTGATTGGCGGGTTACTCCGAATTGGGCTGGAACTATAGGGTCTAGGATATGGGGTTTAGGCTGGCCCGTTCCCTAGTAGCGTAGAGGCGGGGCTCCGATTGAAACCCGAGTAGGGTCCGGGCTTAGCAAACGCCCCACTCGTTTTCTTGAGATTACTGACCCGGTTTCTTTCTTCGACCCGTATTGCGAGATCCATGGCATCTTCTAGGGTAAACGGGTTTAGCATTCGGATCTCCGCCCTAATCTCCTCCTTCAATCCGTTAATAAATTGCCCCTTCATTATACTTTCTGGAACATCAATCAATGGTGAGGCTTTTTCGATAAAAACTCGTCGGTACTCCACTACCGTAGTGGTTTGCTCCACGGCGAGCCATTGTTCGTGCAAGCTCTCGGAGTTTACGGGTCGAAATTGGTTCAAGACTCGATTTTTGAGGTCCTCCCAACCCACCACCGGTCATCGGCGACTTTCCAATTGGTACCACCTCAGAGCATCACCATCCATAGCTACGACGGCGGCCTGCAACTTCTCCGTCTCCATCAGTTTGCAAAACTGAAAATATTGTTCACTTCTTAAGATCCACCCATCCGGGTCGGACCCCTCGAATACAGGCATATCCAACTTTCGAAACTTCCAGTTGCCGTTACCTCCTTGCTGGTCGTGGTGGAAGTGTCGATATCCTCCACCGGAACCGGGATCCCAGTTGCCGATCCGGATTCCGCCTTGACCTCCCTCCCCGGTGCCGTTCGCCTGGTTCTGCAACCCAAGCATCATCGCCCTCATTTCCTCAAAGAACTTATCTTGATCCTGCTTCAACGTTTTCTGTATGGAGTTCTCCCCATCACCGACCTTTTCGAGAATTTCTTCTACTCGATCCTCCAGTGCGGCTATCCTCTCCGGAGTCACCGTGAGCGGCGTCAGATACCAATTGCAACGGTAAGCGATAATAAACAGGGATTAAGTGAAGGTTTGGCGTTTGATTGAGCTATAAGCTTGCGACTGATAACATGGCTTTAGGCCATTACTCTCCAAGGGTTCTATTACAATATTTCTGAATAGTTTTCTCTCTCCTTAGGCTAATCTATTTATACTACTTGAGATACAAGCAAATGGCCTAATGCCTTGATTGTTACAACTACTACCATTTGTCTTCTAGCTAAGTAATTAATAAAAAGTACTCTGCCAAATTCCTTCAAGCCGTTACTGCTGCTCACGGCAGTGGGTGCGCTGCTGCTTGTGTTGTTGGTGTTGTGTTTTGCTGCTGTCTCTGTCCTTTCCTCCTGCTGTATGTCAGGATGCGAGGTGGTGGAGGTGAGTGTATTGCAGAGCTCCCCTGTCACCATATCACTTGGTTTCTTCCTCCAGTTACATTTTGAGGCCTCTGGATATTTTTGCGTATATCCTAAATCTTAAGAAATTTTGGGTCCTAGAAGAATTAGCAACATGTAAGAGCAACTCCAATGGTTGTTTTTAGGGACTAGCTTGCAATTTTAAATAATTTTCAAGCTAATAGCCAAACCATTGGAGGATACTTTGATAATTAGCTTGGCCAAGCTAATGCCAAGCAAATTAGCTTAACTAAGCTAATTAGCTTAGAAATTAATTGTCTCTAATAAAATACTAATTATTTAAAAAATAAAGCTGAAAAATCTAAATGCTAATTAGCCTAACCATTGTGGTATGAATTAGCTAGAAGAAAGAATAGATTTGCAATCCTAAGTGGCATGACAAGCTAATTTGGCAATTAGCTTGCCCTTGGAGTTGCTCTAATGCGATTCAATCTCTTTAACCTTAGTAGCCTACACAATTAGCATAACATTTGCTGAATGTGTCCTAGAATCTAATCCTCATAGCAATAATCGGATCACCATAATTCCACAAGTAAAGATCATGAGCATTTTAAGGATGGATTAAGAAAGGGAATTATCCAGCAAAGTGAAATTTTCAATACAGGAAAAACATCCAGGAATGAGTCCTCTCTGCTCCTCGACCCTCTTTTCTTTGATTTGTGTGCGGCGGGGGATACCTTTCTCAGACTCATCTTCACGAAATAGTCCCATGATCTTTGTATAGGCATGGATTACAATGCATAGGGAGGCCCCTGCCCCAAAAAGTACAGAACTCTATAGTGGAAAGATGACTATTTATTGAAAAAATGCTGGAACAGGCTCATCTGCCTAATACTAAATCCCTGTTGTGATACATTGATCCTTTTAGGCAACGACTTAAACTCAACTCCCTCTCTCATAACTCATACAATATAATACATACACCAGTTATATCCTATGATCCAATCATTATATGACCATTCTTTATCACCGACACCAAGTTCAGGCCATGAGCCCATGAAGGCCCTCCTCTACAACAGCAACAAAATCCTGAATTTAGTTGCTCCTTAACAACCATGATACACACAAGGCTCTATCAGCATGACATCTATAGATTTCTTAATCCATAAATAGAACAAGAAGTAATACGTGCCGGAAGTAACAGACAAAGCTACTTATCGGCTAGGTTTATTTAGAAATTAACATCGCTATACATTAAAACATATTGATGAACAAACAGGCTCAAGCATGATGACTGAGAAGAATCCAACTAACATCCCAGCCATCATTGATGTTATAATGACAGCTTGGACCAAGAACTTGCTGTCTTAACTCTCACCTTCTCATAACAACCCTGAGCTCTCATACCCTTCAAAAAATTATCTTACAGATTTGTGTAAATCCCTTCAAAGCTATAACCCAAACCATGAATGAGCTCAGCTATACTCAGATTTTCAATTGCAACCTAGTTTGACTAGCCCTGAAATTTACATTGATGAAAGAGCTCAGCTATACTCGTATTTCCGACATGATCACATAATCGGACGCAGGATCACAGTATCACAAACACAAGCTTTCACCGTATTGACCCTAACATCAAATCACCGGTCCGAAGTTTCCTCAGACTAATATCAAATGTGAAAATAACATCCATATTAAAATATGAATATTTAGGGCACATTTCTTCACAAAGCTGAACTAAACCCAATTCATAAAACCATCTAAATTAAAAATGAGTATAGTTAATTTACAATTACAATGACTAATTCAAGCTACCATTTATGAACATGGAGCTAGAAGAAAGGTAGCGAGGACATTGCACTACAGAAAACTGAAATCATAAGCAAAACCAGTTCATGAAATCAATGGAACTAAAATGGGTTACTAATATTCTCAATTACAATTCATAAATGCAACAATTCACTAAACAAATCTAAAATCACACGCAAACCCAGTTCATTAAATCATCAAATTTAAATGGGTATCAAAATTCATCGATCATAAATAACAAAATTCATCAAATTAAACACACCCAATTCATGAAATTCCAAGAAAAACTTGACAAAATTGAGGAGAGAGAAAGAGGGAATGCATACATCTTCGAATAGAAGGGAAGGAGTGAGAATGACGAAGAACAGGCCAAAAGTAGAAGCAATTGACAGCCCAAAGCCAAGGAAGAAGCAAAAATCCAAACTTGTAAAAGCGGCGAGCGTATACAATCGATTCTTCCTCAGAAAGTCCAATTGGTCCGTCGATCGTCGGCCAACGAGGTCTCCTAATTGCCGTTGAATTGGCAGAGATGTTGGGATTTTGGAGAGGAAGAAGAGTTGAATCCCCTGAGACTGATGAAGATGAACCCCCTTCCCCTGATCTCTCCATTTTTCTTTTTTTGCCTTTACTTACTCCAATAACTAATAACTACAATACTGTATTTATACGGTTGTGACGGCCGTGAGCTCTCAATAGGTAAGGAGAATGCATCCTATCAGATCGGAACATTTTAGTAATTTCACATAGGTTTAATGTATATATAGTGGTATTAACGTAGATGGTTAGCTGGCAATGCTCATTGGATGTAGGGGGGAGTATAGTATGGTTTTGGATAAATTAACAAAGGTTGGGTTGATGTAAGGAAAATGTCAAAAAATATAAAGATAATAACTCGAATAGGTGAAAAAAATCACCTTGAATCATGGTGGATTCATTTCAATGCGAAAAAAATTAAACTATTAATATAATTCATATAAAAACAAAGATAATGATGGTTGAAGGCATTCGTTGAAGATTTGCTTTAAAAAAATTGGTCATTAGTGCTCGCGTAAAAGACAAATGAGAGAAATACGAAACGAGGAAGAGGAACAGAAAGTGACGTAAATAAACTGAAAATGAGTTGAACTTTCTAAAACATTCAAAACTTAAGCGAATTGAACTTGTATGTTTGAGGGATGTTTGACTTTTTACAAGCAAATAATATTTGAATGAATGATATCAGCATTAAAAAAAAAAAAAAAAAAAAAAAAAAAAAAAAAAATCTATAGATGCCCATATACCCTTAGACATTTAAAATAACAAAGGTCAGCTATAGATCATCAAATTACAGGCTATGTAAACATTGACCCTAATGTAGATGCTAAGTTTTCTTGTTTTATTTCTTTAGATAAGTTAGGATACAGTCTTGAGAGAAGACTTACCTAACTTTTGTATTTTTCTTATAAAAAAAAAGAAAAAAAAAAATAAAATAACAAAGGTAAAAAGGATGATTGGCCTTTTTCCCCCTCTAATTCTAATATTGTCATTAAAAAAGAAAAGGCAAGTGTTTCATGTTCTTATGCCATCACACTTACTTAGGGCATATCAATGATTTTTTGTACTAATATCAAACACTTGCATTTTTTTATTTTTTTTTTTTTGAATAGTCAAACACTTGCATTTACACAAGCACAAGTATGCAAAAAGGAGTAATAAATTACTAGTATAAAGGAGAGAAAATAATAATCAATATTTTAGATATTGAAAGCAAAATGTGAGAAGAGGTTTTCAAACTAAGAACATATCAACTTTGCATTTTCCTTTTATATAGTTCAGCTTGTGATTACATTCAAATAGGTCTTCGACCCTCACCTAATATTTTGTTTACAAATTTCCTTTGTACCAAAAATACCAAAGGATTAATTGGAACAAGAATCAGAAAAGAATAACTTGTAGATACTTTGCTAAAGATGCAAAAGCTCGATGCCAGGGCACAAATGCCTTTGATCTTACTATACTGGTACGCTGGAAGAGCATTGCATCCCAGCTATCAACGAAGCAACCATTTTTCTTCATATGGAAGCTCAGTTGTCCTGTACAAATAAACATGCTCCATTTTCGTGTTTTTCCTCTCTAAAGACTGCTCAACTCATTGCGCAAGATACAAGAACCAATCCAATCAACAAAGCAGGAATTTTGTGAACATGAAACTTTCCACCATTGGGCACATAAGTGAATTGAGGTTCCAACTATCCAGACTGAGATTTTTCCTTTAGCTTAGCTCGAGCGAAAAATACCCCAGCTATGAGACCTACATATCAAGAAAGCATAAAGAACTCGTCAACAAAGTTAGAAAAGAAAATTTGCTACATCGTTTCCTAAGGGGAGTCTCCTTACCAAATAGAATGCTAGTAGAATTCTGCAAGCTGGTAGGAACATGGAACAAAACTATTCCAGCAACCGAGAGAGGGATTTTGTTGAGAGAACCAACAAGACTGTAAATTGCAGCAACATCAACCATTAAGCAAAAACCATTAAAATCATTTTAGCCTGTATATAATTCTCATGGTGATTCCAAGAAAAGCTTCAGGATAATAAATTGATTGTGAAGCACAAGGTTTCATGAAAGAATATAACAAGACTATCATAAGAAAACTATCATGTATTTTCCAATTTATTTCTTCATGTTCTAAACGATCCATGTATTTTCCAATTTATTTCTTCATGTTCTAAACGATCCATCTATTACTTCTAGTTACCCCATCGATTCCACCTCTAAGCAACATTGACTTATCCTAGTAAACGAGTACAGTTAAAAGTTCACTAGATTGGTCTCCAATGAGAATATATGAAGAATGCAGCTTACCTGTATGTTGTAGCCCCTGTTTGATGAAGAAACCACATAGAAGTGAAGCTGATAGCCAGACCGAGAAATCCACTTAGTGTCATAACCAACCAAAAACTCGGCAACTTAAGAAGTGGGCTGTCAGTAGCATCCAAAGAAGAGTTAGAACCACAACAAAACAGTGCCCCTTCTACAGGTACTCTTGCGAAATGAAAAATTACAGATGATCATACACAAATTAATTCAGAAGCTGACTATATAGAGAGTATATGCCAACAGATCTCCATTTAATTTGAAGGGAGGAAAAAAAACTGACATAAAATCATCAGCATATACATTGTATAGGCAATAGATAACTTACGTTTCATATAAATAGTCCACCTCCTTGAATATGAAAATAAGCAGGACACCCAAAGGGATTGAGAGAGTGTTATTTAACAAGACCATCGTAAACTCATTCAAATTTCCTGATCGAGTGACTTGCTTTGCTGTGTCCATGACACGCCGTAATGTCAACTGTAACAAAGCACAAATGAATGCTTGATTGATACTCAAATTTTGACAAAAGCATTGAGCATAACACCCAAAATATACAGGGCAAAGTAGAAGCATTAATGAGGTGCAGTGACCAGCATTATTCACTATATTTCAGCTACAAATGATGTACAAGACATACATATAATCATAATATATATACTAAGAGGAGCAATATTAGAGTGGCACAGGTGGAGTCATTTTTAAAACTAACAACTACTTCGTACTTATTCTAGGGCAATCTTGACTCTCAACATGAGCCGTGTCAGCATGTGCATGAACTATGAGAAATAGGTTGTCACTTTGTTGACTTCCCTTCAACAACTTTGGTAGTTGAAACAATGTCATCAATGATAAGAGCACGAGTTCTCTATCATGGCCCAAATTGTGACGAATGTATTGGCATAAAAAGCTTTATTGAGTAGCAGCAGCCAGGGTTATTCACTAGATTGTAACTACAAAAGAAATGGCACAAGATGAAAAATAGCCTAGTTGCCCGGGTTAAGTCAATTCTAGAACTTACAACCAATTGTCCCTTGACAGCCTTGATATGAGGAATGTGTAAGCAAAATGTGGGTCAAACCAAAAGAAAAATTATTTTACACTCTACAAAATATAGATCATTTTGCTTGGAGTGTAGAAGAAATCCCAAGGTTTATGCTTATAGTTCTTGATTACAACCTTTTAAAAAGCTCTACATTGATTTATGCAAAAAGCTTCAAGTTCTATAGAAAAAATCATTTTCCCTCACCATAAGCATCTACCTCATAATTTGCTACTTAAGACTGCTGGAAAGAAGGTGGTTATAAGAAGCTATGACATTGAAAACAAGCAAAGGCAATTTTTTTTTTTTTTTTTTTGGGTGAATTTTCAGAATGCCACTATAAGGATAAGGTGTAATAAATGAACCAAACAAAAATCAGAAAAGAGAATAAGACATTACTCGAATATGCACAATGAAATGCACCACAAGCAAATTGTGAAATAACAATGATACGGAGTATTGAACTCACAGAATATGAAGCAGTTAGAAAACAGTTGATAAATTGCCATGTATAACCAACAGCGTTGAAGGTTAAATCAGTGATTCCTCCACAAATGGCTGAAATAATCTGCAGAAAGACAAACGTTTAATCTCCAAAAGATTAAAAAAAACTAATATAACAATATATCAATTGGTAATATAGAGTATAAAGTAATGTTAATCAACCCTAAATCCATTTGTAAAAGCTAATTAGTTGAAGCAATATGCTACCCAGACACATCCAAACACCTTGCACACTTTGAACAAAAACAGAGGGAAACCCATGGTCTCTGCCTCTCTGGACAAGAAAGGCATCCCTATTCTCTGAAAGGGCAATGTGTATAGAGTTTACTAATCCTCATCACACTCGCGTTTCCTAGCCCTCTACCGCTCTAAAGAGGTCTCAATTGCTGATTCATCCAATTTGACCAAAATCATGCGCCATGTCAACACTAATAAACCATGGTAGATAAGAGTAGGCAGAGAGAAATTGAAACTACAAGTTCCAAATTAGAGCTTTACAATAACACTATATGATTCATATAAATCTCAAAACTTTTAGATGTATCAGGAGCTAATTTGACTAAATGATAAACCAAATATGTTTGGGTTTGATTAAATCTACTTTGAAGAACACATAACAAGGCCAGGGATCTCAGCAGAAAGGAATGATAGTTTGCCGAAAAAAGTTAAAAATAATGATTAAATTTCAAAATGTAAAGAAACATAGAAGCTGAACAAATTTTCAGATTTGAGATATACCATCAAAAATAGAGCAGCCCAAACTCTATTATCATGATGTTTCTGGAAGAGATACATCTCACCAACTGCAGTCATTACATTGGTGACATTCTTGAGGACTGTAACCATCGCAACATTAATGTATCTCAAGCTGCAATAAGACAGTTTTCAACTTGAAGATGGGGAAATGCACTGTATTCTGTCACTGACTAGAGGAGATTGCTTCTTACTCACCTGAACATGCTTGTAATGAGCATCCCAACAAAGATAATGTTCACAGGTATCCAGACCTTAATTAGCTTCCATGTTAGTGGCTCTGTAGTTACAACACCCAAAATGGACAATGTAGACACGATAAGTACAGAAACAAAATTCTGCAATGAAAACAAAAAACCCATAAGCTTTTGCAGAGAAATATGCAAAGTCACTGCTTTGAACTCTACTGTAAATTCATAAAGTAGATCTCCCAAGCTTATAAAGATGGCTAGTTAACAAACTAATAGGAGCACAAAAATAAATTAAATTAC